ATGGCCGATAGAGGCCGAAACATGTAGTGTAGAAAGAACAAGATCAAAGACATATAAATATATATTGTTTGCACTTAGGACGGAGTTTGTATCATTTATCCATTTTAATATCATCCACCCACCTACGTCTTGGTGTACCTAGCAGTCTCTTTGCTTCATGTTTTTCCACTAATATGCTATATGCATTCCTCTTCTCCCCCATTCGTGCTACATGCCATGCCCCCCTCATCCTCCTTGACTTGATCATTCTAACTATACTTGGAGAAGAGTACAAGTTATGAAGCTCCTCATTATGCAGTTTTCTCCAACCTCCTGTCACATCTCTCTTCGGTCCAAATATTCTCCTCAGCACCCTGTTCTCAAACACCCTCAATCTATGTTCCTCCCTTAATATCATAGACCAAGTTTCACACCCATACAGAACCACACGCAAAATTATAGTTTTTTTTCCTTCGCTCTACAGCCCCAGTGGGCCTAGGCCTACCTCCATGAACTTCTCCATTCACTTCGGTTTTTCTAGATCTTACACATTCGGTAGACTCCTTGGGCGGGTGATCAGCTCGTCGCAAGGCCTCTACCTGTCCACAAACACAGAAAAACGCACACACACACACAAACTAAACATCCATGTCCTGAGTGGGATTCGAACCCACGATCCCGGTTTCCAAGCGAGCGAAGACAGTACATGCCTCAGACCGCTCGGCTACCGTGACCGGTAAATTATAGTTTTGTATATACTAATTTTTATGTGTTTAGACAGCAGATGAGAAAACAAAAGCCTCTGTACTGAATTGTAGCAAGCATTACCCGAGTTCAGTCGCCTCTTAATTTCCTCCTGAATCAGGTTTTGATTTTTTATCGTCATTCCCAAATATGTGAACTGTGCCACATTTTCAAAACATCTGTTACCTATCTTTATGTCATGATTTTGCCCTGCATTTTGGTGACGAGGCAGCAACATATACTTAGTTCTCTCTCAGTTTACTTCTAGACCAAGTTCCTTACTAGCGTCAATTCAAGTTTCTCTGTTTCTCTTTATGGTATCTACATTATCACCCAGTAGATTCACATCATCAGCATAGACCAGCAGCTGATGTGCCCCATTTAATGCCAGGCCCATAAAGACAGAAGGTTAAATTACGGTTTTGTATTTTTGCAACTTCGCGTGTTTGGCCAACAGACGGAACACTGTTACAGTAATTTCCCCAAATTATTCTGCTCTACGTTTCAGCATCAATATGTCCTTCACGCGTTACTGTCGTGCTTGTCCGCCTTGTGAGCGGGGTCTGTCATGCTCTGATCATGTCTTGCGTTCTGGTGACGAGATGGGAACAGGGGCCAGTTCGTCAGGACTCTGCTTGCCGCTTACTTGCTCCCCGAAGATGCGGGCAGTACATGAGTGAAAAATTTGTAAACTTCTATCAGACTAAACGACGTCATCCCAGAAGGCAGAACGTGTTATGACAAACTTGCCAGCATACTAGTTTTGAGGTCATGACGGTGAAAATTCATGGATTATGGCACCGTGCAGCCTTCTTCGTGGCTACCAGGGTTTTTGGGGAACGTCCGGTTTGCATTTTGATGACAGGACTCGTAACACAGAAGAGTACAGTAGGACACTCGTTGTTATGTGGAACACTTTCTCTAATGCAGTGACTGCTGGGGTTGAGGCTCTGATGAATGTGACTACGACCAGGTCTGTCTTCTGGGATGTGACGCCGTGTAGCTAGGTGGCAATGTTCCAGCGGAACCTGATACCTCCATCTTCAGGCTAAAAACGGGTTCCTATCTACCAAACTGTACGACGCCACATCGTACAAGACGACAATGTTCATCACATCTGCTCGTCTGGAATAACACGAGAACCGCTGAGTGAATTCTCATGAAATTTTGTATTGGCGAGTTGTACTCCTAGACTTTCTGCATGAAGTCCTGCACACGCTTTTGCGCGCATCTGGAGCGCTCCTTGCTGAATGCTTTTCTCATATTTAAAACAAAAGTTGTAGGGAGGGCGAGAAACACGATTCTTGAGATATCTGAGCAAACTGGATATTTATGTCGTGTCACCTGACGACCGGAGAACGGCTAAGATGAAATGTTATACTGAAGGTCCTTGCTCATCAGCCCGCCCGTTTTGCGCAGTTTACAAGAGGCTGTCAATAGGTGGCACTCAGGAGCCGGAAGTCCAGAGACATTGTGGCGAACGCACCAGGCCTGCTGCTGTTTTTCAACGCCGTCAGTAGCTCGGGCGAAGGTAGGTTCCGGCAAATGGGACTACCTTCAGGAAAATCTCCCCTCCAGCCTCATCGCTGCTGTCGTCTGCAGTGTTTCTCGGGACCACAGAAGGCGCGTAGAAGGAAGAATGTTGCGTGGACACGAAAGTGTTTGAGTGACACATTTTTGTTTCGAAGCCTTCGTTATAAGGTAAGTTAACAACAGGCAGTTTTTAAACGCGCATACACGTTGCTGCTAGATTTCTTATGTTGTGCATGCCGTTGTGTTATGAAATCGAGGTGCTGGAGCTGTCGACACAGCAACTCAGTAAACCAAATGTTAATGAATTGTGTCGAAATCAACATAAATATGAACGATTTAATTAATTTTATTGTCTCGTTTAACCAGCAGTGTATTTGGTTCAGGCACCGTGCTGCAAGGCGGATAGTCGCGGGTTCAGTTTCCGATGAGGTAATTAATATTTTCAATTGACCTAATCCTTCTAGCGGCACTATGGCCCTGGGTTCGACTCAGCCTCTGAGAGAAATGAGTACCAGGAATCTTTCTGGATGTAAAGCGCGGTCGGCTCGTAAGGCTGACAACCTCACCGCCATCTGTGAACCGATTGTCTAGAGAATGTGGGAGCCTCGATGTTTCACAACCCTATGAGCCTCCACGGCCTGTTATAGGGATAGCTCTACCATTTGTACCTTTACCATTTTTTTGACACTACAGCCCCAGTGGGTCTAGGCCTACCTCCATGAACTTCTCCGTTCACTTCGGTTTTTCTAGATCTTAGACATACGGTAGGACTCCTTGGGCGGGTGATCAGCTCGTCACAAGGCTTCTACCTGTATACAAACACAGAAAAACGAAGACAAACATCCATCCATTTTAGAGAGAAAGGTGTCGTAATAAATTCTTGTATTTAGGTGATAAGATACGAAATACAAATTACAGTTGTTTTCTTAAATCTCTAAGAGAAGCTTAAATTAGGGTAGATGTAGATAGCGGCCTTGAGGGACGGTGTATACGTAAGTACACTGTAGTGACAAGAGCAATGAGGTATTATTGATAGCTGATATATTTTATACCTGTTCTGGGAGCCCATTCAAGCAGTGCTGTAGCAGGCATGGCCTCTGGGGTAGTGCGTAAGCCGTGTCACAGCTTCTTGACGCGATGGTTTCTCATAGGTGCGGGATGCTAAGCAGTGGAATTCTCAGCTACTAAGTTCTGTTACTGAATGAAGAGGACAATGCAGAGCCTTTATGTATTAACAGTTCGACTGAGCACTTCGGCTTGGAATTCAGTCGCTACAGAAAAACATGCATTATCGCTAGCAACTGCGCGGAGATTATTTTTCGTTCACTGAGTATGGCGCACCAGCCGATTTTCCTCTTTTATGGTCCATTCGCCCGAACTTATCCTTTATAAAGCGTCGAATGGTAGGACGTTTACTAAAAATTATTTCCAAAGGATGTGGAAGGAAGTGGTTGTGGCTTAATTTATTAGATTTGTATTCCGGCATTTGCGTGGAGGATCTGAGGAAAGCCACGAGTGGCTGCTTGCTGATATAGGACCTGCACAGCAATGTCTGCAATGCTGGCGGTGGGCACCGCAAGAAGCAGTCAGCGCAGTGATTAGGCCAAGGGCTGCACAACCATAGAATCAAGGCTCGTTTCCCGGCGGTGGCTGATATATTCGCCACCGCTGAATACCGGGTTTGGGGCCCACAAGATCCTATCCAGTGGGTAGCAGAGGGCGAAGCGACCGGGCTTGCTTGCATACATAGAGAAGTCTCGCGAGCCACGGCCTGCAAGTTTACACACGTACATTTGCTTGCAGTATGGACTCTCTGTGTTCTTATTGCATTTATGTTGAGGGCGGCATTTTAATTTCAGAAACGAAATCAGGAAATGATAGTGTAGGCGGTCGTGGCCTATTGGAATCCTACCTGCATGTGTGCGCGTCCCCGCCAGTCTCTCCACAGCACACAGAGGTCTGCGCTCAAGAGAGATCCGTAGTCAGAGAAACCGACGGCTACCCAGTGGTCTCTCCCGCCGGGGGTGTGCACCTCGACGCTGACAGTGCCTGCCGGGTAATCTAGAATCCAGGAGAAAGTGCTGTTGGCGTCCAGAGGGATGCGGAAGAGCCGGGAGCTGCTGGCGGCGGACGCGACCACTAGCAGCAGCAGCAGCGGCGGCTGTGCGATCCGGCTCATGGTCCCGCGAGTACTGACCGTACTGACTGCGCCGCGACGCTGCGGTCGCGCCTTAAGTATCCCGCAGAGACCCGGTTCCGCTGTCTCTTTGTCTCTCCTTTCCTTCAGCTGCTGCCTTCCCCTCGTCTGTCTGAGAACTGAGGATCGCATTTCGCATCGGCAAGTTGCGTTACAATCTGTCAGTAGCTGGAACATGTCGAGTCGAACGGTGGGATGGGGGCGCTTGTGGCCAAATCGGATTACTATACCGGACTGTTTCTGGGGTGACTGAGAAAACCCGGGAAACCTTAGCCAGAACAGCTGGTGCTGCAGCTGAGAATTGAACCGAGCACAAACTGCGTATAGATCTAGACTGTTGCTGCTACAGGAACCTGATCGGTAAGTTTGCGTTTATAATCGGACAATAAGGGACACTTTACCTGAAGACCTACCCGCGTTCCTGAGCGAATCTCGGCTGTCAGTCGCTGAATGTTCATCGGAGCGAAACATGTTTCAGCAGAAGTTCCAGAGAGAACTGAACCATGTTCGATACCGCGCGGCTGTCGAGACGGTGAAGCAGAACAAATGTGCCCTGTTTCCCGCTTATCCTCCTTATTCTCTTCCAGTTTCTATTTTTCGCTTTTCCCTTTCGTGCTTTCCTTATTCCTGTGTTCCTCTTCTCCTTTCTCTTCCTTTCATTTTTGTCCTCCCAATGCTTATTTCCCTATACCTCTCTTTCCTTCCTTATATTTCCTCTTTCTTTGCCATCTGTCGCCTTTCCCAATTTGCCCCTGCAACTGCCAACACTCACCCACCCCCTTTCATTCACTCAAATTCTCCGCATTTCTCGCGCTCCTGAGGTATTAGAATTCTGGCTGGAACGCAATTACTTGGCGCGCCGGCATTGCAGCGCCCTGCACTCCTTATTGCGTCTTATTGAACTGCGGGGACGTGAGAACCCGAAGCGCTGTTTGCAATTATCGGAATCCGATGATGATTTTGTAAGCAGGGGTCCTGAATCTTTGATGTAATTATTATATAAAAGCAGCTGTCTGTTTCTGACTTGCCGCAAGAGGCAAAAAGAAATTTCTTGCGAACTTTTCCCATCAGTTACATCTGAATATCAGCTTTAACATCTTACACATCTCCCTGGCATCCGAACTGGAAAATCCAAGGCAGCACCGACCCAATTCTCTCCGCCACCCGCCACCCGCCGTCACAAACTCTTTCCCTAATATCTGGCTTAATATTATCCTCGTCGGTCTTCAAATTCGCCGTTTATAAGAAGTTTCCCCATCAAAATTCCATATGCATTTATTGTCTCTCCACCCAGCATATTAAACGGTGTTACGACGCTCCCTCTCTCGCACCGCTGATTTTTGCATTTACACATTTTTCTACGTCTTAGCTCGCTGAAGCTCGTCCCACATCGCTTGCTTAGTACAGACTCGGGCTGATTTAAATTTTGTTGACGTAACCTACAAGTCTGGCACTCTCGCCGAGTTTCCGTCTGTACCCTTACGTCTCATCGTGCACAGTATCTCCTGTGATTCAACAGTTGTCATTAAACCGGAAGCTAAAGGAACATTCACTTTCGCACGGCTGCCATGTTGTTATTTTACATCCTACAAAAATTACCTAAACGACAGTTGCATGTATTTCAAAGATTTATTCCAATAAACAAGTTATGACTCTATATTGCCACTGGCATCGCTTACACTTCAGAATTTCGCGTGTCCGTCACGTAGCTACGTCCGATTGTAGGACTTAACGCTTACTAATCTTAGATGGCCTCCAGTAACATAGCTTTCATGTCGTGAAAATGTGTCAGCCAGTGCAAGAAACAACCGGAGGACACATAGACAGCACGGGGACCTAACAAGACTACTTGCTTCCACAAAGAAATTCAATTAGGCTAATAATTTCAGTTCCTAGAAACACCACATCTCAGCTATAAAGCCCAACCGATTACTGCTGTTTAGGGAAACAGTCGCTGTTTACCGTGAGAACCACACGGAACACACAGATACACTCTGTTGGCAGAATGCAGTATACAGTCAACTCTCGATTATCCGGGCTAATGGTGGGGATGGAAGTCACGGTTAATCGAAAACCCGGTTAAGCCAAATTTTATTATACGGGCTGGACGACTGTGAAGGGTCGGAGTTCGAGTCCCGGTAGGGTCAAGAATTTTAACTTCTCCAAATCGTCCAGACCGGCTCTGGGGTCCATCCAACCTCCTATCCAATGGGTACCGGGGGCTCTTTCCCCGGGGGTAAAGCGGCCGGGGCGTGAAGCTGACCACTCACCTCCAACTAGTGCCGAGGTCAAGAAAATTTGGA